AGTATTGATGGGTAATGGCTAGCAGTGGAATCCAGCATGCTCATTTCGTCCTGTTTGGGATACGTCAGCTGGATGTACCTGCCTCCCCGTGAGTAATGTTGTTTTCACCGGGATTCGAACTCGGGAGCGATCGCCTCAAAAGCGAGAGCTTATTGACTGCTTAATCCGTCCATATGCCGACAGAGACTGATCAATTCGGTCCAATCAACGACGGTGTAATACAACCAATAATACTATCATTGTTATTATTATCATTATTACTAGTAGTAGTGGTAGTATTAGTAGTAGTAGTATTAGTCAACTAACACTTTAAAGTCACTCTCATTTGCGCTGTTTAAAAACGATGTGATTTTTAATCTTTTCAATCTTCTGAATTCTAACTGCTATTCTCATCATTATTATCACTCACACTAATATTATTATAGCCAACCTTTAATTCACCTATAAACCCCTAGTTGGACACTGCCAACAAGCTGTCTAGTTGACTGTTAATTGTCCTATTCAAAATGATGTAATTCATTCCTAGTCTTTTTATTCATTATCAATTTGCCAACCTCCTCCCACCAACGTGTTCATAGTTCTATTGACCTAGTTAAACTATTCATTTCATGTTGCCATATCTCATTCAATGTCTTTGTCTTTATAGTGTATGCATTTGTTCAACAATTCGTGCTTTAGCAACGTTTGCTGTTTGTTTTAAATTTCATTCTAGTTATTTAAAATTTAGATTCAAGGTTAGTAGATTAAAGGATTCTACTGAAACAGTTAGGCGAAATGATTTACTTTACCAAATCCCTTCCAATGACTGCAACGTCGAAAATAGAGTAGTCAACCTGGGTCACTTAAGTTGTCTGAGCATTAAATTTCAGCCTGAAGGTATCTTGACCAACAATAGACTGGATAGTTTGGAAAAACTTGGGCATCAAGTAAGTATGATTCATTGCAGAAGGTGTATTTTACTTGTGTAGTCCAGGTGTAATATATTAGAACAAGTGGCAAAATAAACAAATAAACAGAAATTGACCTTTATAATTATCCAATTACATCGTGAAACGAAGGGTAATATAATGTAGGTGAGTGTATTAGTAAATCGTTCAAAGAGGGTTTTCCCACCTGTGCAAATCAGGTGCGACAAAAATAGGGTTGGGAAGTCTAGTTCGACTATGAAAAGTACAATAGAGTTGTGATGACACAATTAGGCAGCTTAACAAACGTGTTGCTGAGCTCCTACTGTCATGGCTAGGAAACGGAGAAGTGAAATCGATACAAAGTTTAATTCTGTCGCATTTGGTCAATGGTGGTCATATTATAGATAAGACCCAAGCGTTAAAAATCATCCATCTCATTCTACAAAACGTTTCGAATGGAATTCGCACTCGCATATTACATATAGCTGAGGCTATTGGAATTAGAGAAAACAACTCTAGTCTGTGTGCAGAGAAAGTTTGTGCAGCCTTTATTTCTGCCTTGCAAAGAGAACACCTAAGAAATGACTTTAAAGATGAATTCAGTTTCCATCTCCTTCTCTTTCTTCACCCTTTTCACTCACATGTTTATTTTCTGAGACTTTGATTATCTACACATTTCATCCTTTAATATCACATGAATTTTATTTTTCTAAGTTTTGACCTATATTAATTGTTTCCATGTCTGCAGTACCTGTTGTTCCCATTATTCTTATTATCACTGAGATAGACAATATTATTATTGTACCTCAGTGACCTAGTGGGTAATGCTTTGGCATTTGAAGTGGTGGGTACGAGGTTCGAGTCTCAGTGGGAACAATATCACTCACTGGGGTGTAGGTATATCCAGCTGACGAGTCCCAAATAGGACAGGACGCGCATCCTGGATCCCTCTGCTAGCCACAACCAAGTAAATTACCATAACAACTATTCAGGCAATATCGAGGCATCCCCATAGGAGCTCATATGCCAGCAGAGGTAGAACAACTCGATCCAGTATAACAACGGAGGATTATAGGTATATAAGCAAATAGTTATCATTATTACTGTCTACATATCTACTACTTGCTTGCTTCATTTTCTTGTTACCACAGCCTAAAGAACCCACCATGATTGGTTTATTGCTTTATATATGAGAAAATTTATGTATATCAGTTTTCACTGCCCAATTTTCGTGGTCATTGAGTAAACTTCGTAAGTCTATCTCTACTGTTCTTGGAGCCTGCAGGGAAGCGTTCGCATGGATGCATTAATTCAGAAAAGGCCGCTGGGATAAACTGGCCGTTTTTAATTACTCTCTGAGAGCCGGCTATGGTCTTCAACGCTGTTTTTATGACAGAGTGGAAATCGACCAAAAGACCTCAAGAAAGATTAAAAGGGAGAGTGTGGAACGTTGAGAATGATCTGAGGGAACTGTGCTGACAGAGTTATGAGGGCGGTTGACACGCCCTGGCTGCTAACACCATAAAAGGCTATTTCCCCTTGTGGTGTGCCTGAAAAAAGTTAGTGCATGACCGTCAGGTCCATGGGATATCTTCCTGAGGCCATTCACCAATGGCATTTTAGAAGTTCGACATTTTAGTTTGTTTTCTATGAATCCGATTGTGTATTAGTAAGGCCCGCATCGGTATGCCATGGGGTAGAAGGGGATGCGCTATTTTTTTAACCCCTGCCCCCATAAAGAAGGCAGCACCAACATAGCACTGCTAATAATTCGTGGGAAACACCTTATTGTTTGGCCAACAGTACGACTTCGCTCTCAGACTCCCATCATAGCGTAGCAATTTACACTACAATGATAACTGCTCTTTGTCTTACTGTTATCCAACTGTCCTAAATTGTGCGGTAGGATATCTAGGGAACTAGAGTTCTATCGGCATAGGCCGTTGAAAAATTGTAGTATGCAAGCCTGATCAATACTTCAAGGCAACAGGTATTGGTCGGAAACTTAACTGGATTCTGGAAGAAACTAATGACCGAATCTTAGTTTATCGAATCAACACCAAATGCATGCAACAGGAAGACTCATTGTCTATTTTAGACGAACGGAAAACTCTGCTACCGTTATCACAAAGAAGAATAGGGAAGTAGAACAACATCAACCATATTTTAAACTTATGGGGTTACCCTGATATGATTACAGATAGCCATTTGTGTCCGAAATAATTATTCGGTAAATAATACTGTTTCAATCTGTGATAGGCCTGGTAAGAAAACTAAAATTGAATTATCTTCTATTATGAGACGAGTTAGTAACAGAAAAGGTTCATCATGTTGTGCAGTTGCCCAGGTTAGTCGCTACCCATCACTAGTTTCTTAAAACCTGGAGATTTGAAGCATACTGATGAAAGTTTAAAGCGATTATGACACAGGTCAGTGACTATACTGTTTTTAAAATAAAACTAGAAGGTTGGCATTCATCATGTACTGACATCCGCTGGAGAACCATTGGAAACCTGGGAACACTGGACGGCTGTTTCGTCCTAATATAGGGCTTCACAGCGGTACACACCCGTGACCCCACCAGGGATCGGAACCATGGCACTCAGATTTCGTGGCCAGCATGTTACCAGTGAGCCACTGGGTTGACATTCAGCGGTCCATATTCCCTATTTCTGTCACTTCACGATATAGGGTGACCTCCATCGAATACCGTCATTGATTAGCTGTCCTCATGTTAGACTCGGTTGACCCCACTGGTCATGACTTCTCATTGAAACTTCGGGAATCACCTTTCGAAGCTAGCTACCAATGAGCACTAGATCCTGGGTTCTATCCCTGGCGGGGGTATGGGTGCGTGCTGAGGAGTCCCATACTAGAACGAAACACCTATCCAGTGATCCCAGGTTTCCAATATTTCCCCAACTGATGTTCATGATGAATACCAACCTGAAGTCAATAAATCCTCAGAAACTTCAAAATTGTATAAACTAGTAGTCCAACTCCGTAACAACATCAGATCATATACTAAAATCCACACAGGAACAACGACAAATTGTAATGTCATATTCTCGCACGTGATTCAGAAACCCAGACAAACAAATGAATTCAAAACTCACGCAATTCTAACAACTTTAGTTATGCATACAATTCAGTCATATGTGTACATCAACACAGATGGCTTTAATGACAGCTCAAAAATAACCATAAATATCTGTATATCGACTTTCGAGGAAAACTTAATTTCCCACCAAATAGTTCAGCAACTACATTCTTGACACAAAATCAACATGATAACAGGCATATATGTTAAAATATTGATTTCTTCCTGAGTTTTCAACTTGGAATCACTCCATTAGCACATATTTATACACAAGCACTGATGTTAGTTACTACAGTCTATCCAGAAATGACCAAGTAAGGTTGTAATGATGTCTTTAAGTGTCAAATTTGTTTGGATACTTGGAGAAAAATACAACGAAATCAAAATGCATGGCTCGCTGGTGCTTCCAGGAAAGTAGCAATAAGATTTTTCTCATGGCTACATTCTGCAAACTGCCTGTAATCACCTGACAGTAGATACACTCGCATGTAATCGAAAAACAGGGTAAATGTGGCCTGACTGATATACTCGCCAATCTAAATGATGTAATTCCAATATTTCTTAGAGGTAACCGCTTCATGATACTTAACTAATATAGCATCCTAGTAATAATGGCAATAAGAACACTATTTTCCTTACAAACAAGATATATATGATGAGTATTATAACACGTTACTGTTTTCATAAGCTTCGAAGAATTTCTATTACATATGCAAACAAATGTGCATGTTCCACAAGGGGACAGTTAACAGTGTCTTCATGAAATTAGGTGAGATATCTCAAGGGCATAATTTATCATTACGATTTGAGTAGGTCTTAATTAATGCAAAGAAATTAGATAAGGTGTGTAGGATATGCAGATTAAACATATTCATATAGTGCTAAGCAAGAAGGAGAAAAAGAAGTGAGAACAATGCAGAAAGTAGCCAAAGTAAAGGACAAAAGAAGAGTGACAGGGAGAGAGCAGTAATTGCAACGAAAAATTCACTCACTTTCATTGCACCTGTGCCTGCATATATTTGACTGATAGCATCACCGTTTGTTGCCCACATATGCTGAATTGTACGCAGGAATTCAGTGGGTAAACACTCCTCAGGGCCTAATAAACCAATCTTTTTCAACTGCCATATATAATATACATACGTGTATATGTATGTGTTGTAGAATGGAGAAGAGAATGGAAGAAGCCGATATGAAAGAAGAGAAATAAAGCAAAACAAAACATTTAATGGAAATGAACTATGTATCTAGAGGAAGATGGGAATATACTTAGTTTTAGTATATCAGCGCAGTACTACTATTAGTGGTGGCAGCAGTAATAATATTGACAGTAATGAGATGTTCTTTATTAGTTGAGACAAACGCAACATCAATATAACGAGAAATATAGGGAGGGAGAGTAAAAAGCAGTACCGCTAAATTCCTACAATTATATCTTTTGTATGAGTTTCAGCTAGGTTGTAGGAGAAATGAAATATTATGCCAAATGAACAGCTTAAACACTCACCTCTTGTTATTACTCAACTGATACGTCATCCATTTAATGAATTAGTCAAAATGATGGGTTTATCTACGCAGTGATAAAGATAATCTTTAGAAGAAAATAGTTGTTTGTAGTTTGATATTTACTAGCAGCCACTTCATCATCATGGGGTTAGGTTAGGAGTTAGTCATACAGGTGAAATATGTGTTTGGTCTACATTTACAAAATTTTGATAATCGTTGAAATGTACTCAAAAATTAATTATTTCAGACTAGAATTTGAGGAAATTTCAGTATTCGAATAGGGTTTGGGCAATGTGGTAGAGTGTAATTCTACCATTATTCTCTCCTTTACATGTAACAAAGTAAAACAGTAATGTGTATTGAGGACGTTTCTAGTACAATATATTGTTCATCATCATGTCACGGTGATCATACAACTTACTGATCTAGTTTTCAGGGCTCCATTGTTTTTCATTACTCCATTTAAATGGTAGTAAAATTTTCCATATATTCGGAATAGGTGTTGGATCATTTCTATTGCATATATCGGTGTTAATTTGATAAACGAAGCTTTAGTTAACAACTTCCTGCTCCAAGTACTCCAGTAATTTTTCTAAAATTATCAATCTATCCTATCCTTTTATATGGTTTGGTGTGACAGCACGCACAGCTGTGGTTGATCTGTCTATCATTCAATGTTTGGCTAGATTTTTTTGTTCTGGTGCTCTAATTAATTCCAGTCTATCGGTCTGATCTGATCTCACAGTCATTACATGGAATTTGTCATGTGTAATGGGTTCGTCAGAACCCTTTGACAAAAAACATTCATCTCTAACTGAGTTTGTAGGTTATAATGCCACTCTTACCTGTCTTACTAGGAATTCTAAGCAGGATTTCTGATATCCCTCCTTTATACGATAAAACTAACAGGTTTTACAATCCTTCTCCGTAGGTTCATTGCTGTCACGTTTTGTGTCTGCAATCGCATTGTTCATAGAAATTTTTCTAACTACTCATTTTGCGTTTCTGGATAAACTCAAGAGGATAATTGTGTGTTTCGCTTCCTGACATAGAATTCCTGCCTAACTGGTCAGTCTTCTTGTCCTGTTACTTAGACATTTGACCAAGCCTGCGTTAATTGATGCGGAATGAGATGATCTGCAATCTAAGAATCGATTAAGATGTGAAGTTACTAGTATCTAAACCTCTGTGATGCCTTCAACTGATTTCTTTGTTCACTATATTCAGTTCTCCTTCGTCACTTTCTAGTGTGTGTGAACTGGAAGGCAACAACTACTAAGTTTATATGTATACGAAATGTGTCGATGTTCAAATAAAACCTACAGTTAAATACATAGGTCAAACTAGCCTGAAGGGGTCAATTAAGCTGGCAGGAGATAGTAATAATATACGAAATCAAGAAAACAGATCGGCAATAGCCATGCATGCTGAAACACACAATCACATGACAGGATGGGATGAAGTAGACAATTTAAAAAATAATTTTGGTAGTTGCAGTGAGGGGTTTCATAACTGAAGCTTCATTTATCGTATCGACACCTGACACGTGGTACAAACGACACAACACCCATTTCGGATATATGGAAAATTTTACTACCAATAAAACAAAAGACTGAAAAACAGTGGAGCTCTGAAGACTAGATCAGCAAGTTGTACGATCACTATGATATAATTATGAGCCACAAACTCTGCTTGAGGAAATTTTGTTGAAAATACCTCAATGCACATAATAACACAAAATGTCTTCATATTTAAACAGTGCAGTGCTCAAAATAATGTGGATAACCTGTTCACGACCAAAACATATACATAATGTAAAGCGAGTGATTAAGATTCTCAGTTTCCAGTTATCGGGTCACAAATTCACGCTATCATCTGCCTACTGAGGTTTTCACAGCTGAATGGAATAACTAGTCCTCTTAAGTAAACTGTGACTTACAGCCTAGTTAAAAGACATGTAATAGGCTACTAAGCTACATTTATCATAATTATAAATAGTAGTCAAAGTAATATGTACAGCTTACTATATCAAAAAAGCTAATGTAAGCTAACAGCACTCTAACTTACCAATAACCAGATGGAGAGAAGTACAGACGCACTAAAGAGTATACCGATTATAACTGTAACCTGGGCATGATCTGAATTCGCTGTATTGATATCACATTAGTTACACACTAGACGAGGTGGCAGAAATCGATAGTTCAGCTGACGACTGGATACAGTTGGCCAACTGTGATCGAACGGTGACTATTTTAAGACCCAAGTGAATGAAAACCAAAGGATCGAATGGCCAACCAAATTATATATATATATATATATATATATATATATATATATATATATATATATATATATATATATATTTCACGGAAGTTTTCATCACGGAGTGACACCAGTTGGAGAACCGCTGAAAACCTTCAAACACTAAATATCTGTTTTGTCCTAGTATGAGACTACTCAGCAGTATACATCCACGACCCCCGCCCCATCAGGGGTTGAACTGCAGACCTACAGGTTTAGAAGTGATCGCGTCAACTGTTCGGTAATAGGTTGAAGTTCGGTGGTTTGCAGTTCCCTGCTTTTGTCACCACCCCAGATCACAAGCCGGCATACGCTTCACTTCCGACTTGGTGGACTCCACAGGTCACTGCTTCTCATTAGGACTTTGGGATATCCATCCCGAGTAAGATAAATAATTATTATCCAATCTACAGACGACCAGGAGTTTATCATGTGTAATTAAATCTTCGTAAACAGTCAATAAATTCTTACTAACAGACATAAAATCTAACGTTTTATGTGCTCAAACAACATCCCTTGTGTATAATATTCGAAACATATCAAGGTAGCAGTTACTATTAGTATTTCATTACTGCATTTATATCTGTGATGAATATGTAAACAAATAGGAAATTTTCAGTTCAGCTGTGTTGACGTGATCTTTTCCTGAGTCGCTAAACCAATTGGGATAAACTGATATATTGTCCTTATAATCATATGAATTCAGAAGCGCATACGATACCTTCAAGGGGCATACTTTATAATCTGAGGTTTTCCATCACTATATATGCTTAGCGAAAATTTCAACTAGCTAAATTCCTAGCGAGCTTATTCTCTTTTGAATCGTGAACAGTAAACTAATGAACAGGTAACCTGGAGGTTGTTATCTACAATGAGGTCGTAATTCAGGTTTGCTTATTGAGTTAGTCAACATCCTTTCCATATATCTTGAAGAACAATTAGCTCTAACGTTGACCTCTTTGGGCTTTTTTCCAGCAAGATTTACCTCATCCTCTTGAGTTTCAAATAGACAATTATTCATTGAATTTTCTTGATATTATTGTTATTATTGTACTTATTTCAGAATGTTGTCTTGTTTTAGCCTTATGGGATGGTTTTTGTCTTACACACTTAGTTTATTTGGTTTTAAGGAATTTCTTGTAGATATTTACCAATGTTTTAAGCACCAATTATATTTAAGAAGAAAAAAAAGGAATTCAGTGTTGCAGAAATCAGTCTAAAAGTTTTATTTTTCGGTTAAATATAGTTAGGTATTATTATTTGCGTAAAGCGAAATTTTATTGCATCAAGTGTACTTTGATCCATAAAAAATGATGTGAAATAATAAAAAAGATTTGTAGCTCAAGATGAGGATGATAAGTTCTTGGTGTTCTCTGAGCTTTGAATATTTTCTCGTCGACGTAGATGACAAGTATGTTGGGGGTATATGTTCTGAGCTGGTGAAACAGTTTGTGCATCGGGGTGCAAGCAACATAATATCAGCTGAGTGCTTCTTTGTATTTGGAAAGTCCTTTCTAGATTTAAATGTCTTCAGCATAGTCACTCATTCACATGATAACGGGGCGAAAGCCTCTGTATTTCAAGTGAAATTAAGACTTGGTGAGCAGCTAGCTGTCGTAGTTAAGTCTGTAGATCTCGGTGTCAATAAACCAGAGGTCGCCATGTTTTATCTTGCGATTACTGTGGTGTTTCTGTTTCAACTTCAACTGCCATTACATTACATTACATAAAGACCAATCTACTAAACCTTGACTACCATGGATATTCCCATCAACATTTTTGCAGTCAGTGAAAATAATATGTACAACTATTTCATACATAATTTGTACTGGACTTTATTGACATTATTGGAGAGTTTTATCGTGTATTTTACATGTTTAACATGAATGTGAGTTTTTTTCAAAGGCTCCACAATTGTTCATCTTTAACCTTCATTACTGTTGAATGCAGTTCGTTCGTTATGGGGAAATAAATCATCATACCATGACCATTTTGAGTTCTCATCCTTTCTTGTGAAGCTATTTTACAATATGAAATTACTACAGTGTTACATTGGTTGGTCACTGGGGGGTAACCAACTTTATGTTGTCTAGTCCTCCGTGCCGATTGAATTCCACTGATTATTTTGTAATGTGGTCATCAGACCAGGAGACACCATCACGATGCACTGAGAGAGTTGTTAGTTAACTGGACTAACTACCCTCCAGTGACCAGTCAATAAATGTAATCCAGTCCCATAGGAGGTCAGTAGCGGCTCGAATAGCTCAATGGTAACGTCTCTCACTTCAGCGTTGGGTGGCGCGGTTCGAATCTC